GCAGCTGGATCCAGCCCGTGCCCTACCGCCTGGAGCTGGATCAAAAGGTGCGGGCCGCCACTCCCCTCTTCCCCCTCCCGAGGCACGGGGCCTCTTGGAGGAGTTAGCGACACGGGGTGGTCCCACTTCCGGAGGACGACCCCCGAGCGGGCAGTAGGCCCAGGAGGGGAGGGCGGTAGGGGCGCCGCCGACATTCACCGAGAGGCTGAACTGTGCCAGCTGTTGGGGCCCGCTCGTGTCATTCGCCCGTCACCCCGGGAGGCGGGGCTGTCCCCCCAGTTACACAGAAGGAAAGGGAGGCCCCACAGCGGGTAGGTGCACGTGCAGTGGGATTCGCACTGGGACCCCGAGACTCCAGAAGGTCCGAGAAAATGTGGGCCAGCTGGAGTCGGTGAAGAAGGGAAAGGAAACGTTAGCTGGGGCGGGAACGGGAGTGAAGGGGGAGTGTCCGAACACACTAGTGATTCTCACAGGAGGCCTTCACGCGTCTCGGATGGAAAAGATCGCAGCAAGGGACCGCTTCCGCCCCGCTTCCGCCTGGCGCGTATCCCGGAAGCCAGCGCTCAGAGAAAGGGAGGCTTTGGGATGGATGGTTGTGGAAAGCTCGGTGGGGGATGAAAGAGAAGCAGGTTTAACCAGTTTGGCTCCTGACTTCTGTCAAGGATAACAAACGATCTTTTAATGGAAAAGAGGAGCTCAAGATAAACAGGGAATTTAAGCTCACGGTGAATGAAAAGTTGGGTTGTTTACTTCTTAATATTGAGTTGTAATTGATGTATTCTGGCTATAGGTCCTTAATCACATATAGGATGTGTGCAGATATTTTCTGCCAGTTTGTGGCTTTTTAAAAATTAACAGTATTTTGCTGTATTAACAGTATGCGTTCTTAAATTGAATAAGTTACCAGTCATAAATTGCTGAATAAAACTTGATATCACAAATTGGGAACTCTTTTTCAGATTTCATCAGCTGCTTGTGGCTATGGATTCACATTGCTCTCCTCGAAAACCAAGGATGTCACGAAAGTTTGGGGTATGGGCCTCAACAAAGATTCTCAGCTTGGATTTCACAGGAGCCGGAAAGATAAAAGTGAGCGTTCTCACCTTGGCTTCTTTCTGCTGTAACTAGTCTGAGAGCTCCCTTTGGATTTTCGTGTGTATCTATATATATCTTCTATATATATAAAAGGCTAATATGCTAAGTGTCCCTCTGAGTCTGACTGGTCGCTATGACATGCACTGACCACCAGGGGGCAGATGCTATGACTCGCACTGGCCATTTACAAAGAAACAGCACCGTGGACCTGGTCCTGACAAAGCAACACTTGGCTTCCCCCCAGTGGGACACAGGCCCCAACACCACCCTGGAGTGACAGCCCACCAAATCACAGCCGACGCTGCCAAGACCCCATGGCACAAAATTCGGCCCACAGCTCAGCCCAGCCCAAAACGGTGGCTGTGGGCGTTGGGTAATGACGTCACGTAGCAACGTCTGGCTTCCTCTCCCTAGCAACGACTAGCCTCCTTGGAGTTTCTTCAGCCCAGGAACACGACTTGCTTTATAGCCAGGTGCAAACATTTTACACTTTAACCAAATGTCTGTGAAGCATTTTCCCATGCCTCATCTCATTTGATCCTCA